TGTGAGTGATTGTGAGCATAACAAAGACATCCAAAAACCTTTAAATGGTCATAACATGGTGATTTCTTGAAAAGTCTCTCAAACGGAGTGAGGCCTGACAACACAAGAGTGGGAGTCAAATTAATTATGTAAGTAGCAGTAAGAATGCACTCACCCCAAAATTTTAAAGGAAGATTAGCTTGAAAACGCAAGGCACATGCAACTTCAAGTAGGTGACGATGCTTGCGCTCAACCACACCATTTTGTTGAGGTGTGTTGACACAAGATGTTTACTGCAAAATACCTTGTTTTTGACAAAACTCTTTGACAAGTCCATCTGTAAATTCTTTTCCATTATCACTGCGAATCTGTTGCACATGAGTTTCAAATTGATTCTCAACCATGTTGCAAAAATTTATTAGATATAAAGCAGCTTCTGATTTATTTTTTAAAAGATAGACCCAAGTGCAACGAGAGTAATCATCAACAATAGTTAAAAAATAATGTGCACCTGTATTAGAAGCTGTAGCATACCTACCCCAAATGTCACAGTGTATTAAGGCAAAACAACGTGAAGAAAAATTTTTGCTAATGGGAAAAGGCAATCTTGTTTGTTTTTCTCTATGGCAAATGTCACAAACATGTTTGAAATCAGAAGGACAAGAACATAATGAAGGTATTTTAGATAATCTATCAAAGGAAATATGACCAAGCCTCTTATGCCACAATTCAAACGACGCAGTCTCCTTCGGCTTTACTCGACTAGCAGCTGCAACATGCCCAAATTCACAATAGTAGATTCCCTCATGCAGTTTACCCATTCCAATCAACTTCCTCAAGGTTAGGTCCTGAAATACACAAAAGTTAGGGAAAAATATAACTGCACAATTGAGTTGTTTAGTTATTTTGCTAACTGAAAAAAGATTACAGTTAAATTGGGGAACACATAAAACATTGTCTAAGGTGAGGTCTTGGGTTAGTTTTGCTTTTCCTATATGAGAGACATGTAAGGAGGTTCCATCAGGTATGTGGACTAGTGCAAAATAAGGTATGGTTTCAATAAGCCTGAAAAGATTTGGGGTCATGTGGTCTGAGGCGCCACTATCAATAATCCAAGGAAAAGATGAGATTTGCATCTTACCAACCATGTTTGTCGAATGATTAGTGATGGAATTACCACCGAGAAGTGTGAGTAATTGATCATACTATTCCTTGGTCAATCCGGCAAGAGGAGACTGAGTTTGATTGCCATCTGTTCTTGTTGGATCATGGTTTGCTTTAGCTGCAAAGATTAATTCCCTTCCATGACTCTGACTTCTCTGTCCATCACCCTTGCATTTTGTCTTTGTGCCTCCAGTCTTCCAACTTGAGGGGTACCCAATAATCTCATAGCATCGGTCTTTGGTATGGCCAACTTTCTTGCAATGATCACACCATGCCTTTCCGGGATTGTTTAATCTTCCACTCATACTCGACCTTGCCACTAAGGCAGTGGCTTCAATTACTGGTCCTCTTGAAGCTGTTATAGCTTGTTGCCTTTCCTCCTTGGTTGCCATTGCATATACCTTGTTTAAAGAAGGTAATGGTTCCAAATTTAGGATTTGTGAGCGTATAGTCGAAAAGTTATCATTCAAACCCATTAAAAACTGATGAACCTTCTCTGTCTCACATGCCTTTGTGTACTCCTTCGCTGCCCCACAGGTACACCCACATACACATACTGGAGTAGGTTCATATGCATGTAATTCGTCCCAAATTGGTTTCAATTTGGTGAAGTATGCAGCAACTGATCTGTCTTGTTGAACCATGGTGGCTAGTTCAAGCTTTAATTCATACACTCTTGTGGTGTTTCCTTTAGAAAATCTCTCTTGCAGATCATTCCAAACCTCTCTTACACTGTCAGCATAAGCAACACTATCATGCAGTTCTTTTGAAATTGTGTTTAGAATCCAAGACAGTACCATTGAGTTACACTTCTTCCATGATGCATAATTTGGTGAGTCTATTTCTGGCTTTCTCAATGTCCCATCAACGAAGCCCATCTTGTTCTTTGCATAAAGAGCGTTTTGTAGTGCTCTCTTCCATGTGTGATAATTCTCCCCTGTCAAAGGGGATGTTACCAAAATCCTCCCAGGGTCATCACTTGGGTGCAAGTAATATGGAGAGTCTGGGTCGCCTGATTTCAAAGCTTCCCTTGCTCCCCCTGTCGTCTTAGGATTGGCCTTTGTGGTTGTCTGCAACAAAAACTTGCTGTCACGATCTACTGTTGCGGCAAAATCTTGCCGTCAAGCACCTACTGCTCTGATACCATAATAAACTTAGGGCAGTAACAGCCGCATATGAATCTGGAATGCTATATTTCATTATAAGCAGCATTACACCTATATACAACTGGGTTCTGCTACCAGAAAGGAAATAAAAGGAAATACAGGAAACTGTACAATGCCAATCAATGCTAATCAATACAAAATATTCGACCATTCCATCCATAATCACCGCCTTATACCATCCATAATCACCGCCCTATATGCCTTTGATAGGGAAAATGATTCAATCGAGTTGAGCCTGGCGAAGTTTTGCCTCGAGAGGAACATCCCCTATTTGGGAATTTGCAGGGGTTCCCAAGTTTTAAATGTTGCATGTGGAGGGACCCTTTATTAAGACATCGGTAAAGAACTGTCCAAAAAGTAGCCGGAAAATCAAAGGGGAATGCACATTGATTATGATAATTATGATGGGCATAGGCATGCGGTGAAGGTGGTAGAGAATACCCCTTTGCAAAAATGGTTTAATGATTCTCTGGAGGAAGAGAAAATGGAGATTTGGGTTAATAGTTATCACCATCAAGGTGTTAAGAGATTAGCTCAATGTTTCTTTCCAATGGCTTTTGCATCAGATGGTCTTATTGAAGGGTTCTATGACCCAGACGCTTATAATCCAGAACAGGATAAGTTTATCATGGATCTCTAATTCCATCCTAAGAGAATGAGGCGGCCGGATTCTGATGAATTTGATTATCCAGGATGCCCATCTGCTTATCAGGTATCATAATGATTCTTTGGATGGCTTACAAAGACACTGTTTTGATGTGAAGGATTATGGAGTATGTTGCTGATTGATTTTGATGAAAAATTGTTGCAGGAATTTGTTAAAGCAGTAATTGCCTATCGGAAGAAGCTTAATAGCACAACGTCTGTGCCAAAGCCTCTCAAACTCAATCAAGAAATGGAGAAGAAAAGAAAATTGATAATCAGAAGCTTCTCCTTTGCTAAAAACTTATACTCCACAGGTTCTGAGATGCATCCTTCTAAAGAATCTGAACTTCAAGCTGGAGCAGAATTTCTTGAGGTATAAAACCATGACAAAAGAGTGGATTAACAAGTGTTTGGGATTAAATGTTTCACCCGAGTTATTAACTGGGTTCCTTCATTGTTTGCAGTCAAATACAGCTTTGAGCATTCAACCAGAGAACAGATTGAAGCAGATGGGTGCAACTGTGAGAAATGCAGGTTCGTATATTGAGAGATTGGAGCAGAATGAGGAAAGGGAAAGATTGGCAAGAAATATGATGGTAAAAATGTCTGCAGAGCAGTTGGCTGATCTCGTCTTTCTATCACATGATGGGGAAGATATGTTCAGAAGTACTGGAAAAGAAGATTCATGGCATTGTCACTGACCTTGGCTCTTGAGGCCTTCTCCCCATGACATTTGAAGGATATGCTTTTCTGTTAATAAAAGGACAGGTCTCCAAAACGCTCACATGAGAGCTGGGTCATGGATCCCTGTCCTTCCTCTGTATTTTGTCTTTACCTGTTTTCTATAATTAAATTTTATTTTGTGTATATTGTAGGGGTTAAAGATGTCCCGTGCATACTCTCTTCTTGTGATCTTCATTTACTACTTGAATCAAACACAAGGTTGAAAAGGTTGGCACTGTCAAAACTCACACCTCCAAACAAGCACTAGAGAACAGGTACTAGAGAGGCATGCTTTACTCTCTGAGAAGTAGAACTGCTTTATTTAGTAAGTACATCTGTATCTTCCTTATGAGGAACTGATTAGGGTTGCTCAAAATCTTGCTTAGAAACTTGAATTGGGCTGCTAAGAAAAGATAGCTAGATATGATATTGGTGGAAATATAAACTCTTAAGTTTCAAATGAATTCTGAAATAGATGATAGACATCTAATGTGAAAATTGTGCATGCAGTTTTTGCGTGAAACAAGAGGAAGCAACTAAGATTGAAGAGCTAATTAAAAACCTAGGCAAGGGCATTTCATTTTTTTTAATTAAAATAAATTAAGAATTTTCTTCATATGACAAGAGGAATCTTTCCATTGGTTCAGAGCTGTCTTAGCCAAATTGGGAAGCCAGAGAGTCGGACATAATAAGCAACGGAACACAATTCAAATCAACAAAGCCTGCAGCTTCACCTTCCTCAATTTTTATTTTGGGATTTTTAATCCATGTTTTTTGCACACAAGTGAAAGTTTATTAATTATAATATTTGTAATTAATTTTATATAAATTTTTATATAAGTTTTAAATAAAATATAATTAAAATATGAAAATATATTATAATATTTATATTTAAAATTTATAAAAGATTATAATTTTAATAAAAAAATTTATATAAAATTAATTAAAAATATATTAATTAAGGAGTTTTAATTTTTGTTCTTAAGATATAAGTTAGATAAATTTTTTTATTTTTTTATAAATTCTTTTAATGCAGATACCAAAATTAACTAAACATATTGAGTAGTCGAACTCTTCTTCTCTTTGAAACAATGAACTGTTCTCTTACCATGAAAAACGTTTAAAAGAGTTAGCAGACGGGATTTAAAGTAGAAAAAGACAGTCCAGAGGGAGGCACTTACTGAGGGAGGTCATATTTACTTTTTCAATTCACCCCCTTAAATAAGAGGGTAAAGTGAGATTCACCGTTTAAAAAAATACATAAATAAATTATCTCTTTAAATTATAAATTAAAATAAATTATTTATTTTTTAATAAATGGTATTAAAATTTTATTTATCAAATAAATATTTTTTAATAATAAACTGACATCACATATTAAAATATAAATAATTTGTGTCGATTTATAATTTAAATAAATAATTTACCTCCTTAATTTTTAAAAAAATTAAATCTATCTCTATCTCTCAAATTGAAAGATGAATTTGGGAGTTCTGCCCTTTTTGAACTCGTCAAAATTCAACATTTAAGAACATTATATGCCAGCCCAGTGGATTCTAGGAATTTGACGTACGCGATCAAATTACTTTCGCGAGTACATCTATAAATATATTTCTTTATGCAACTATGTGAAACATCAGCGGTCCCTTCGGTAATAGCTTAATGGATTGTGCATTACACTTAAAAGGGAAAGGTAGAGATGATGAGTGCAAATTTTAAAATAGGGGAGATAAAATTTATTAAAAAAATATTTAATTAAACTTCTTTTATAAATTGATTTAATTTAAATTATAAAATAAAAATTATTTAATAAAAAAAATACCTTAATATTAAAGAGTTTAACTTTTATTAAATAATTAATATTTTATAATCTAAATTAATATAGGCCGTAAAACTCTTTTTTGTATTCAATTTCACAATTTCTTTCTTCTAAAGAGCTTTGCTGGTTTATCAAGGAACTTTATTAAGTATGAACTTGCTTGCAGACTGCAGAACAAGATGCATGTGAGGACTCGGAGATGAAGATGTGCAGATGTTGATTTGCTTTGATCATCGTATAGGAGTAAATTGCCCGTAACTTTAATTACAAGTCAGATTGACCAGTGTTCTACACTTTGTATTGAAAAATGAAGATTGTTCATGGGATTAATTCATACGGCCATGACGTTACAAGTCAAATTGACCCGTGTTCTACACAATATATTGAAAAATGAAGATTGTTTGGCACCAGACAAAACCAGTCAGGAGGAAACTTCCGCTTCCAAGGATGGCAAGCAAAGCATGTAAAAAAGTCTTATTTTCCACTTCTTTTTCCACCTTTATTTCCTGGTAGACTTTTTAGTCTTTCCTTCCACATTAATTAAGAAATTTCCTTTTTATAAACTCTGTCGTTTTCTTCAATCTAGCATGTCATAACATAGGTATATCCTACCATGAAGGGACGGAGCCAATGAAGGACAAGGGGGGAGTCGCCCCCCTGAGCTTTTGAACAATATTTAATATGTTACTCTAACTTTTATTTGTTAAAAATTTGGTTTTTATAATATGAATTTCAAGGATCATTTCAAATATAGAGAAAATATTAGGATCCAAATTAAAAATTTTCAAAAAATAAGGATTTGATTTAAATAAAATAAATTTTATGACAATTTAATTAATTAGGCATTGGGATTTTTAAACAAAAAAAAACATTTATTAAGCCAGAAAAATGAACATTTGATTCTCTATTTAATTAACTTTAAATTCATAACTTTCTTTAGTATTCTTCATTTTGTTTCTTAATACTCTATATAATAATTTAAAGTTTTTTTTATGGCATTGAGGTACATTTTTACTTTCATGATTGAATTGATAGTCATTTTTTTGTGTTAAATCAATCAAAATTAGAGTTCACTTTTTAAAAGAAGTATTTTAGTATTTTTTAATATTTTAATATTTTTTTATAATATTAGTGTTTATCAACATGACCTCTAAAAAATTAAGAAAAAAATCTTAAAATTATATTATTTTAATAAAATTAAAACATTCTTATTCTTACTTTTAAGAATATATTATTTTTGTCTTTTTTAAAGTAAGTTTATTAAAACAATGTAATTTTGTAATCTTTTTCCTCTTAATTTTTTTTAGAGATTTTGTTAACAAGTACATTTCTCTTTTTTAATTCATTCTTCAATTAATCATTTTACGATTTATTACTATGATATTTTATTTTTTATTATATTAAATACATTTATTTTTAATTTTTATTAAAAATATATCAATAAAAAAAGATAATAAGTGAATATTTTTATAAGAGAAAGAAGATTTAAAAGAAAATAAATTAGTATAATAAAAAATATTCTTCAAAGTTTAAATTTTTAATATTAATTTTCGCTCTCTTAACTGAATTTTCTGGCTTCATCCTTGCTACCGTGCCATCTGTGGAATCAAAATGGTTTGGCCAGATTGTAGCCATTACATAATTCATACATCAAGCTAAATACTTCTTAGTTATTATAGGAGAATGGTATTGTTTCCTCAAAAATCTTTAATTGACTCCAACCACGTAAGTTTGAGAATAAGTTGTGCCACTTGTTTTGTTTAAAAACAAGAAAACAAGAGTTTTTAGATGATTATTTTCTTTTCCAGCAGTCGACTTCCCAAAAGATGACTGAAAAAAATGTTTATGAAATAAGCTATGCCAAACAACATTGCAGAGCAAAGGGTGATGGGTTACTAATTGCTTTAAACACCTTCAAGGACTTTATAACCACTAAAGTGTAACAAAAACTATATATCCTAAATTAAACACAATATCTTTAGGCAATTATCCTAATATGAAATAAATAGAAGAAAATAATATGTCACGGAAATAAACTCATAGACAACAGACTGTACAAGATTACATACACTAATTTTAACTTCACAATCCATAATAATTAAATTAATTACTCGTAGATTTAAAATAAAAATAATTAAACTACTTGATTGCTAAAACTAAAGGAAAATCTACAAAATGATCAAAGTTTGGAAACTTGTAAAATTAAATCTTAATTTAGAAATTGAAATTAAATTAGCTACAAGTCTGGCAGTTATGCATAAATAAAGCAAATAAAGTAGAAAGCATTCAACCTATTTACATAAACATATGACAAAGATGAATCCATAAGAGAAAGGAAAACTAATCAAATCAATGGGGCAAATCTATTTTCAAGGTTGATCTGTTTCAAAATTCTTAAAAACAAACCAAAGTTGCAATGTTTGAGGAAAAATACAAACAAGGATGGGAAAAACCTAAACCAAAGTTATATATGAACAAGAACAAATCTTGCACTCTAATATGGAAATTATGCTGAAATCTAGAAGAAATAGTATGAAAATTGAGAAAGCATATGCCCTGGGTGGTGTAGAATAGGTTGTGTAGAACTGATTTTTTTCTCCTGCTTTCCTTTTCTTCAATGCTAGGAATCTTCCTCCATGATTTTCAATCCTCTCCTATCATAAACGAATAGTGGGTGCTCCACATCTGAACCAATTTTCTTTTGCTTCGCAGCTGATAGTTTTAATCCAATTTTAATTCTAATAAAACCCTAATATTAATATTCTCTTAAAAACCCTCAACTTCTTAATTTAAATTAGATTCAACCATTAAATAAACCACCTTATCATCTGCCACATAGACTCAACCCACCATAAATTCCATCTAGGTAATTAATCTTCAAGTTGGCCTAACCTGATGAGCTAAATTTATATAAATATTAATGTGAAATTTTTGCTTTGATATTTTTTATATTTGAATGAGTTTTATGAGATTTTATTTGATTTTACATAATTTTCATTTTTTGGGTAGGAAAAGACTTAATTGGAAGAAATCATAACTTTTAAGAGCAAATTACAAAGATAAAAACTCTGAGTATTAAGCTGTTCAGAATCCAGAAGTTAGGGACCAGGACTATAATTTTACCGTTAACAAAATTTCCTAAGAAGGCCAAAATCCTGATACGGCGATGGTATTGAGTGCTGAACAGAAGGTGTCGGCACCTGGTTGAAGGTGTTGACCCTTATGCGATTTTTCGCTAAATCCGTATGTAATTTATTAATTTGGGTGTGAGTGCCATTTCTATACTAGTTAGGGTTTCTAAAATCTTATAAATACCATTCAAATTTAGAATTGAGGGATCTTTGGAGGCTAGTGGTAGTCCTTTTTTAGGCACTATTGAGGATTAAGATAAATGTTTCATTAACAATAAAAAATCAATGAGTTTAATTTCTTCAAATTGAGTTTTGTTTTTCTTTAAATTATTTTTATCTATTGTTTGATATTTGAATATTCATAATTATGATTTCAAATTTAATTATTTTTATTATGAACTTATTTAGTCAACTAAGGCTAAGATGTAGCATAATCAATTCAATATAAACTTATCATTTTTACACTTTTAAGATTGCCATTTCATGATGAGTATATATTATTGTTCTTAATGTTTTTTAATGCTTGATCACCATTAAAACTAATTTGGAGAGCATAATTGAGACCAATAGGAGATTTTATGCAATAACTTCTAGTAATATATATCATGAATTCAATGAAAGTAAAAAATGGACCAATGTGATTCGTGCATTATTAGTGATAAGTTAACTTAATTTTTTACATAAACTAGGGAATTTTACTTAACATAATGCATCTTTATCTATTTAAATTCACATAGAGATGTTGTGGGTAAATAGATAAGATAGATTTGATATAACTTGAGAAAGTAGATCGAATAGAATAGGAAATCCCGTGTGACATAAATAGTAACATCTTGAAATTATAATAATCGAAATTCCATGTTAATTGATTGTGGCGAAGTCGATGCTCTAGTACCTCATATTTTAATTAATTTTATTTTAATTGTTTTTTTCTTTCTATCATTTTAATTAAAGTTTCTTTTTTTTCAATTGTTCAAATAAATTTAAATTAATTATTTTGGTACTTAATTAATCATAATTCTTGTGAATTCAACACTCTATTTATCATTATATTACTTAGAACGATTAACACACTTGTTAGAGTAATTTGAGTGCAGCACAACCCAACCCACTTACTGACTCTCCTTAATAGCTGGGCCAAAACCTCACGCATGGCCTTATCCCTTTAATTTATATTTAAGTCTAAACGGGTATTATTACCCAAGACGTAATAGTTCCGTCCTACACGGTAGAAGAGTTCTTTTCAATGGAATCATCGGAGTAAATTGAGCAAAAAAGTTGAAAAGTCCAAATGGTTTAAGTCAACCAAATACATTGTCTAGCAGTTTCTTTGAATTATCTTCACAGCATTGCTTTTCATTCAGCCTCTTACATCCTATATCAGTTCTTATTTTCCCTCCAGAGTCCAGATCAACCACTTCTTGAAATTCACCCATCAATCCATCCAGTTCCTCATCCCCATCCGTTCAGAATATGAACTACTTCCTCCTTTTTGTTATGATACTCTTGGTTATATCTGAGATTCCCTTTTCATCAAGCAGCCCTGAATTGTACGAAATCTGCAGTAATCAGTTCAGTTGTGGGAATGTTCATGCAGGCTTTCCATTCTGGGGAGGAGATCGAGGACGGCCTGAATGTGGCCATCCAAGACTACAACTCCACTGTGAGAATGATAATACTGCTATTTTAGAAATTTTTGGTGTTCGATATCAGGTTCTTGAATTTAATCAGGAAGCCAAAAGACTGAAGATTGCAAGGGAGAGTGGAGTCTGTCCCAACATTACCCTCGATGCCACTATCTTTGTCAGTCCAGATTATGTAAATCTTACATTGCTCAATGACTGCCCGGCTGTACACTTTCCTTTTGAATACTTTAGCTGCAGTCTAAATGGAGTCAAATGTAGGAAGGTTTACCTCCTACTACCAGGACTTCCTGTTCCCATAGGTTGTTCTGCTAATGCCACCGTCATGGTCCCTAAACCTAAACCTTTCCCCACTGGAGAAGATATGTGGAAAGAGATCGGACAAGCCCTAATTACTGGGTTTGAAGTAGAATGGAGGGTGGATGATGAAGGGTACTGTCAGAAGTGCATTGCCTCCGAGGGAAAGTGTGGCATTAACCCTTGGAATGAAACGGAAACGGTTTGTTACTGTCAGGAACAAAGTAGTTCAGAACAAGAATGTCTTCCCCTGCCTCCTCTCCCTTCCCTACCAGCACGACCACCATCAAACGCCGATGAGCATGGTAAGTACCTTATGTCAAGGCATAGTTATAGTATAGAATAGAATAATAAAATAAAAGAGTCTTACTGGTTGTTGTCCTGAATTTTTTTTCTTTTGTATATTAGAATTTTTTTTTTTCTTTTTTCGGATCAGTTGCATTATCTGATTAGATAGCAAATTCTGATCAAAGGTCTCACTCACCAAACCCTTACTTTCCCATGACAACAAGCTTTAATTTTAGTTGTATATCACACACCATGGAGCAATCAACCACAAAAACATTAGGTAATCTGTCTATTCTTAGACATTAGATAACTGGTATGGAGGACTATACATTGCCAACTGCTTCATGGGCCATTTAATTGGTCTAGGTGAGGTAAAATGAGTCACACACAATAAAGAAAAAGAGCCCTGTTCATTAAATGAAAGGAAAAGGGAAAAAATATGTCTAGAAAAGTTTGCATGACCGAAGATTGAGGGTAAGCCTGGAGCTTGAATCTCTTGGTTCACCTACTGCAAACCTAAAAAAAATGCATCTTATTACATGAAGAATCTGTCAAGCATCCTTTTGATTTGGTCATATAAAACAATACTTCTAGTGATTTTAGGAAGACTTTTGACAACGTATAGAGGAAGTTCAAAACTTCAAATGTTAGGAATTCATGTTACTGTTAAATCTGCTGTTTTAGAAGCAAAGAAGCTACTTTGTCAAAATTAGGAGGCAGATAATACCGCATAAAAATTAGGGGAAAAAAGAAAAAGCAAATAAGCAGTAAGATTTCCAAATGCAGCTTGAACCCTCAGCTGAGTAAATCCCCAAAACAATCCTTGATGAAACCATACTGAAGATATTTGCTCCTTAGTTTTTGAAATTATGAGCTATTCCTATTCAAACTCCATTTTTGGTGCACTAAAAAGTAAAGCAAATAATTAAGCACTCAATCAACATGAGAAATGCTATGAACCCTTGCGACAAATATTTAGATGCTTTTGGTATTAGTTGACTGACGATATATTTTAGTCGGTAGTCAGACACTGCATTCAAACAGACACTCATACGGTGGTTATATGTTCCTCTTAAGAGGGCATCGTAGTGCTAACTCTTAGTTTCAAATCGGTAGTTGGCTGCACTAGTTCCTTCCAATCACTTAGGTTTATTAAAGTAGCAGTCTTGTTAAATGCAACAAGAAGAGCAACTAACTTCATATCCATTGTTCCATTTTCTTCCTAATATCCCTCTCTATTTCTTCAGAAATGCAATCCACTTGTTCTTCCATCCCTCTTCCTTCTATCTTGATCTTTCTTTTCACCTTGATCAAACTTCAAGCCAGTTTTTGTGCCAGTAATTTATCTTACTCAAACTGCAGCCAAACTTTTAAAAGTGGAAGCATAGAAAATGTAAGCTACCCTTTCTGGGGAGTGAAGAGAGCAGATTACTGTAGTCAACCAGGGTTTGAGCTGGATTGCCAAAATGATGTACCAAAGATCGAGATGCTGAACAACGTTCAGAGTTCTCGGGATCAACGCAGAACAGCAGATTCTTAAGGTTGCCAGAGATGATTATTGGGACGATGTTTGTCCCACGAAATTCATCAACACCACCATCGATTCCAAGCACTTTAGTTATGTTTCAAGCGGCCTTAGGAACCTCACCATATTCTACAATTGCACCTTAGATTCAACTCTTATTATTATTGTTCTCTTCTCTACCTCTATATAATTGTACCAAAAATAATAATACCACCGTCAAATGGCTGTCCCTGTATGGTACCTTTACCAGCTTAAATGATCCCTTGCTAGGAGAATGCACCAGCAATGCCCAAATTCCAATCAACGAAACAGCTGCCCAAGATTCTGTATCAATATCCATGGATAGTCAATGTTACTCTGAAGGCAGGTTTCGACCTGTAGTGGGAAATAGGTACTGATCAATGCAACCAATGCTTGAATTCCGGTGGGGTTTGTGGATATAATAGGACCACAACTTAATTCACTTGCTTTTGCCAAAACCAGCCCTGGTCAAGTACATGTCCAAGACCAGGTTTGTGGCTCTTCTCTTGAGCTTTTCTAGTTCTACGGACTAATTTCATTTTCGAAACTCACCGGTCAATGATCATCCTTTATGCATTTCTGATTGTTCATATCACTATCATCTAATTTTGAGACTTGAAAACTTTTTCTTCTTACACACAAGGATTCAACCTTAGGAGCCGAAGTTTCTCGACATTTAATTCTGTTCTCGTCTCATATTCTTGATCTTGATCCTTTTTACACACAAGGGTGATTTCTTCAACAAGGAAATTGATTGATACGCTGGATTTCTTCGACTTTATTAGAGGTGGAGACCGAGTTTCTATGTTCTGGAATTCTGAGTTCTTCAGAATATCTATTTTCCCTCAATGGACATATGCATTTCGTCTCTTCTGTTAGTCTACCTAATTTCATTTGACCGCCACTAGATTAGTCGTTCCAATAGAATTAATAACCCTTTCACTCATTCAAACACTACCATTTTGCATCATCATAATTAATAGTTAAAACCACTTCATCCCCATCTTCTTCTTTTTTTCATTCTCCTGTTTGATCGGACAAAATGCATCCCCTTCACCTCCCTTGGTCTTTCTTCCTCTTCATCATCATCACCTTCGTCTTGATCCATGCTCCTAAATTCGCATCCTCTATGGATGAACGTTATCTGAACTGCAACGGGACGTTCGCCTGTGGAAACATTGAGAATATGGCTATCCTTTCTGGGGTTCAGACAGGCCGGACTACTGTGGCTTCCCCGGATTCCAGCTGAATTGCAGTGACTCAATCCCAGCGATCACAATCAGCAACATACAACGTCCTCGGAGTCAACAACGAGTTCCGGGTTCTCACCCTGGCCAGAACACATTATCTAGGCAACCTCTGCCCCACCTTTCTAATCAACACCACTCTGAATCCTGACCTCTTTGAATTTACTTCCGATGCTCAGGATATAAACCTCTAATATCATTGCCCTCCTCCTCCCAACTCCTACACCAAATAAGGAAATTGAGTTCTTCAGTAATTTTACTTGTAATGTAAACACAGCCACCTTGTCCGGCTATTTCCTCATTAGAAATCTCAGTGAGTTGGCCGACCTGGCTTCTATTGCGACTGTAATCAGCGCCTCCTTGGGTAGTTGCGATGACCGGGCTGTTCTGGCTGCAAACCAATCCGAAATCCAGTCTGTCGAGAAAGTCAGTGTCTGAGCTAGGAAAATCTGGTTGAAGCTCTAGCCGAAGGATTTGGGTTGCAGTGGAATGCAAATAATAGCTTGTGTGATCGGTGCAGGGGTTTCGGCGGGCAGTGCGGGTATGATACGGTTTTGAAAGAATTTTCCTGTTACCGCACAGATCAGCCCCATGATACCGTTTGTCCTATAGGCTCTCTAGCAATCAGCCCCCCTGGTACGGATATTTATTTTCTAAAATTAAAATTTAAAATCTTAAACTCAAAACTAAAATTAATATCTTAGGTTTTTGTTTGTTAAGAAATTTGAGGGTATTGAAATTTAAAGAATTTTTAATTTCCAACAAAATATGCACTAATAAAAATATTAATTTATTATAATTAAATATATTTTAATTAATATTTTATAATATAATATTTTAAAAAATTATAAACAAATAATAATATAATTTTTGTATACTCAAAATATTATAGGCAATCTCAAACTCCCCTTTATGTACCTTACTAGATATAAGTGGATGCTTTTATTATTATTATTTTTTTACATATTAAATAAAAAAAAGATGAATATTATTTCATTTACTCTTACATTGATTCAAAAATATTACACTTAAAATATAAAAAACATTTTAATTTACATCAATAAACGTGAGCCTTGTTTATTTTTTATTTGTTGGGCTAATGAAATTGCCTGATTTTGTCATTTTATTTGACAAATTCAACTCCTTACATGCTTTGCTGTTAAAAATCATGGACTCATGTCCTTGGAAATTTTTTATCAAAAGAAAAGCGGCCCACAAAGAAAACGAACTCAGTAGTACCCCATCTTTTTGAAGCAGTTTTTTTTTTGTAGTCAACAGAGTGATGTTACAATAATATCCGTTCTAGAAAACCGGCCCACCATTGTTGTTTGTTAATCTCTTCGCCTGAACTGTTCACATTCAATCACAATCTCACATGCCAAAGCCTATATCACCAATGCTTTTTTATTTTTATTTTTTTAACGGATTTACATTTTAAAAAAAAGAGAAATTCAAACCATAATTTTTGGATTGAAAATACATCTTATGATCTGATTTATAATTCAATTTATAATTATTGGACGTGAAGTCATTTGCTCTTTTATTCTCCTTTTTGGGACAATAGATACAAAGGGCTGCATACGTATGAATTTGCCTTTTCTAAATTTCCAAATATGCTGTCCAAACCTACTTTATCGCCTTTCAATTTCCTATCAGGAATTGCCGCCTTGCAGCTCCTATCGCTCCTTCCCCTCAGATGAGAGGAAGTATATTTTTTTATCAAAAATTTAATATAATTTAAATTATAAAATACTTTTTATTATTTTAATTTATATTTTTTTTCAAATTTAAATGTTTCTCCGACTCCCACTTTTTTAGTTTTTCTGAATTTGACCACCATATGGCGTCCCAAACATTAATCAACTCAACAGGGAAGGGAAAAAGAAAGGAAAGTAATTCTTGATTTTGTCCCCCCTTTCTTTTAAGACAGCCGCCATTTTCTATGTCACCGATCAATTCTAGTGAACAAAACCATCCTCCCTAGTCAATAGTCAACTCACTTGCCCCTTCGAGCGCGCCAGCTTTCTTCTCTCAAAAGGCGACACCTAGTCTGCCCCCTGCATCTCCTCAGGCCTTCACCATGCTCCCTCTGGTTTTCCTCTTCCCGCTCATCTTCCTCCTTTTTGCCCGTGGAACGCATTCCTCTGCCCAAAACGACACTTCCACCGTCCCCAACTGCAACCAGACCTTCTCATGTAGGGCCTCCAAAACCTCTCTTACCCATTGACCGGCCGTCCTCGTCCGTCGTACTGTGGCCCACCAGGATTCCTCCTCACCTGCACCAACGATGGAACCACCCAGTTAATTATGGACTCACTGAGTTACAGGATCATCCAACTCGACCGAAACATACAGAGCATGACGCTTTCCCGCTCGGACCTGTACAACAACACATGTACCCACGAATTTGCTAACACCAATCTGAGTTCCCCTTTATTCAATCTCAGCCCAGACAACAAAAACCTCTCACTGTTCTATGAGTGTACTCCGGTCCAGGTGTATACCCTGGACAATCTGTTCTGGTGCGGGGATGGGAATTCTAGTAGTGCCGCGTACCATGTTGGTTCCAGTTCCGAACGATCCCATATTCAAGATTATACGCTGTAACATCAGCATCAAACTGCCCATGTTGCAAGCTGCGGCGGATAAACTTGAGACCAACAGGTCTACTCTCAGGGAAGCTTTAATGAAGGGATTTAGCGTGAATTATACTACTCTAAATGCGGACGATTGCGCTAGGTGTCGCGATTCGGGTGGGGAGTGTGGGTTTTTGGATCAGTTTGTTTGCATTTGTGGTGATCGAATTTGTGACATACCGGCTATTCTTGATGAGGTATTTCATGTTTATTTTGGTCCATCCATATAAATAATTCTTATAGTCTGTAAGATTATAATAACAGAAAAGAATTTTTAGAAGAAAAGTTTTGGGGTTGATTTGTTCACTTCGCAATCTATGTGATAATGTTGGTTCTTTGCCTAATTTCTGGTTTCTGCATTTTGCTTAACCTGAACTTCTGAGGTTCTATAGCTTGGTCTATCTTGATGTTCAATTGTTACAATTCTGTCATAGATGTTTTTACTGAATTTTTGAATCTCGTGATTGTTGCAGACAAGGGAAAAATATCATTTTGTACAGGTAATTATCCTTAATATATTATATTTTTCTAGTGTCAACATTTTTACCAAAGGTGAGTTATAATTTGAACATTCTTCTCTGTTTTCGATCTTTAGTCCTCTTTATAGCTGGTGGAGTAATTGCTGCTATTCTTCTGGGAGTCTTGTGCTTATTATGGATACAGAGAAGAAAGAGAATTGCTACTCAATCTCAAAGCAAAGACTTGCCTGCAACTCCTCCTTCAGGCAAAGGCCTGGGGCCTACCATTCTATCCACTATGAATTCTGAAAGCATTCCTTCTTATTCCTCAGTTAAGTCTGGCCTAGAAAAGGGAAGCACCTACTTTGGAGTTCAGGTCTTCAGCTATGCTGAGCTTGAAGAAGCAACTGATAATTTTGATCCTTCTAAAGAACTTGGAGAGGGGGGTTTTGGCACTGTTTACTATGGTGAGAAGATAAACATTTTTCTTGCCTTCTCTGTATCAGTTTTCTATGTAAGGCATTGGTTAATACCTTTTGTTTTCCTGGTCTTTTCACTGTTCCTTCAATTCTTTGATCAGGTGTGCTCAGTGATGGGCGTGTTGTGGCAGTAAAGCGCCTATTTGAGAACAATCTCAAACGTGTTGAACAATTCATAAATGAAATTAAGATCCTAGCAGACATACGACATCCAAATCTTGTGACACTATATGGATGCACCTCAAGGCACAGCAGAGAACTTCTCCTTGTGTATGAATACATTCCTAATGGAACTGTGGCTGATCATCTTCACAGGAGAAGGGCAAAGTCTGGCTTGCTTACTTGGCCTGTTCGGTTGCGCGTTGCCATAGAGACTGCTACTGCTTTAGCTTACCTGCATGGTAAAGAAATCATACACCGTGATGTCAAAAGCAACAACATTCTTCTAGACAACAGTTTCCATGTGAAAGTGGCTGATTTTGGTCTGTCTCGACTTTTCCCTAATGATGTTACCCATGTGTCAACTGCTCCGCAAGGGACCCCCGGCTATGTTGATCCTCAGTATTATCAGTGCTACCATCTTACAGATAAAAGTGATGTATATAGTTTTGGGGTGGTGTTGATTGAGCTCATTTCTGCAAAGCAAGCAGTAGACACAAATAGGCACCACTTTGATATTAACTTGGCTAACATGGCCATCAGCAGAATTCAGAATCAGGCATTGCATGAGTTGGTTGATCCATCTCTTGCCTTTGAAACTGATTTTGCTGTCAGGACAATGATTGCAACCGTTGCAGAACTGGCATTTCGGTGTTTGCAGCAAGAGAGGGATATGAGGCCTTCCATGGAAGAAGTTTTGGGGGTTTTGAAGGGAATGCAGAATAAAGATTTGGGAGCTCAGTTTGCAGCAGTGGTGGATATTGGAGCAGATGATGTTGGCCTTTTGAGACATGTTCCCCTCCGGTTTCGGCAGACTCAATTGAAACTGAAAAATGGGTTAGTAGCTCTATCACACGGAATTCCTTTTAGTTCTAGCAAATGAGATTTCGTTTCACTTTTCCCCTCAAATTCTCAGTAGTAAAAGTATTGTACGATCTTGATCCATTGTGGATGAACTCTAAATTTTCATTACCTTTACTTTCAGGCCTTTTCTCCTTTTCCCTTGTTTGTTTAAAAATAATGTAAGGTGATACCAGTTTACGTGAAGTCAAGGAATTATAAGTTTATAAAGCATGAGTAGAGCTTCATTAAGGGTATAAAATCTATATGTTTAGGATGCATTTATTCATGAGCATTTTTTATTTAATAATATATATACAGCTATGAATTGTAGATGCTGTGGTAAGTTCCTGGTCATTCTAATGCTGTTTTAATGCTTGTTTCTCTTCCAGGGGCAGATAAGAACAATGTAATCTAACTTGCATAAATGAAAGCAGAATTTTGATTTTGAAGAGTATTTGCTGCTTAAAATTCAGGTTTTAAGTTCTGCTTACCAGAAGGGAATCATTTGTTTAAATTGAACATTTTGTCAGACAAAATGGTGGTAACATTTCGGTGAATAGCTTGAACAAGTGACAACAGATGCAGCAGCATAGAGCTGTTTTGTATCCGCATGGTATGTGTAGTCAGTAGTTACCATGCGTTGTAGAGGCAGATTAAATTAAACTTTATAATTTACCCTCTAAATTGCTGTTCTTTAAATCATGTGAAATAGCTTCTTATACAGTTACATTTGTTGGTTAAGATCAGCTTTGGAGCCAACTATATACTTATAGAAATTAATTTTTTTAAATACACCAAATCAATATGTAAAGTGTCTTAAAATTGCCCAAAAAGATAATAGTCTTTAGCTAGGCATACAAAATTAAGTTATTAAGTGAAACTAAATCAAAAGAGTTAATTATAATGTTTTTTACCACCTTTTGTATTCCCTTTTTTTGCCTTTTGAACCAAATGAACACGTTATTTTTGCAGCACACACGCATTTAATTAAAGATCTAAAAGTCTTTTCTTTGGCAAAGCCAGGAGAGGAGAAACTACATAGAAGAAGGCTTTTGCCCTTCACCTCATCCCTTACGCTAGAATTTATTGATGTATGCATTTCCATTGTCCTCCAAATAAGGGACAGCCGCTTGCCCACGCATTGAGCGTGAATCTTTCTAATTTTTGGAACGGAGTTCCCTTTAACGGTTAGACCTCGCTGAAAATGTATCTTTTCCCAAACATTACCTTCAACAAAGCACACACCAATACACCATTTCCTACTCTCTTTATATCTTATATTTATTATAAGAGAAAAGTACCTATCAATCGTGAAAATTGTATATGTAAGGTTCAATATGAGATTTACATCAAATTTAAAATTAATTGACAATAAATATAATAACTTTCCTTGTATTTATTCTTTGTCTATGTAGGATTTTTTCTAACTCAACATATTCTCTCACATGTAAATTTGTTATGAATGTATGAAACTTCTTAGGATGAAGTTTGGGTTTAATACTATATGAAAATTATACATATATATGGGTTTTAATATAAAACTTATATCTAATTTAAAATTAATTAACAATAAATAAAATAACCCTTTTTATATTTAATCCACATATTTTTATTATATTTTCAATGTAATATTTTTTCATTTGACATCAACTAAATCTTTAAAAAAAATTAAAAAAATCTTGAAACTATATTATTTTATTAAACTTTTATTAAAAAAAAAAACTAAACTAATGTACTTTCAAAAACCTTACTTTCAAAGGAGGAGCAAGATAGTTGCAATTCATTTGAAGTTTTATCAGAAATTGATAACTAAACTCCTTTTTCTCTTTTTTTTTTTTTTTTGAACATCGAAAATGGGGAAAAAAGAGAATTTTTGTCGAACAAGTACTTGAATTCAAGTTTTTAGACTTGGAGGTGAATCATCAAGCCAATAGGTTGGTTCCGTGACCAAACTCTTTCTAATTATAATCCTACGCGAGAAGCGTGGGGTAATGTAAAGTTTTGCCCCCATTATAATCCTCTCGTGAGTGACCTGTCCCCTACATAGAGGGGTCACAAGCAAATCTATATTACAACAAAATGTTTAATTTGAGTTAAATATGTCACCCTTTTAGGTCATAATAGATACCAAACATTTTTTTAATTTGTGTTTTAAAGGGCAAAAAGGGTTTATTGATAATATTTTTTTATTTATTTGTTTAAAAAAATAAAAAATTATTTTTTAATATTGATGTAATATGTATGATTTTAATTAAGAGATTGATGAAATTAAAATTAGTTTTTTTCATAACAATTAATGAAAAAATATAATTAATTTAGGTTAAAACCCTATTTTGGTCCCTGAACTATTATACGGACCCCCGATTTGGTCCCTGAACTAAAAAAATCCCTGATTTAGTCCCTACTATTTACCATTTTTACCCCGATTTGGTCCTTCCGTTAAAATCTCACCGTTATCTCACGACAATTTAATGACATGGCAAACATTTGAGACACGTCAGTTGTATAAATGAATAAATAATGACATGGCAACATGACATGTCATGTCTTTGCCCAACCCAACAAAAGTGGAGCCCACCAAAATTATGAATTTGCCATCATCTTCTTCCTCCAACAAACAAACCCAGCACCTGGGTTGAATCGAACCCAACAATGCCCTTTTTTTTTCCTTCCTCTTCCTTGCCTTGCTTTCTTCATCATCATCAAACACATCATCATCAAACACCAAACCCACAATCATCAAACACCAAACCCACAGAAAAAATATATATATATTTTTTACCCCTGGGTTCGAGGAACCCAGGTGTGTTGGGTTCTTTGAACCCACGCCTAGGTTCCGTTGAACCCATGCCTGGGTTCAATAGAACCCAGCGGCGAGTTGGGTTCTAAAGAACCCAGTTGCGAACCAGCTGGGTTCTTCGAACCCAGGCGTGGGTTCGAGGGAACCTAGCGCTTAGGTTCCTTCGAACCCAGCGCCTGGGTTCCTTCGAACCCAACCCCTGTTGGGTTCCATGGAACCCATCGGCTGGGTTCCATGGAACCCACCGCCTGGGTTCCTTCGAACCCAACCCGAGCAAGCGTGCTGGGTTCCAAGGGGAAAGAGAAGGGAAAAGAGAAGGAAAAAGAAAAAAGATTAAAAAAAAAAATTTTTAATTTTAT